CACCAAATTGCCAACCTTTCTGATCGACAAACTCAGCATCTTAGCCACTAAGCCACCGTGTCCCTCATTGAATGAGTATGTAATGGTGATTCTCCCAAAACTTGAGGCCGAAGGAAGACATTGTTAAGGCTCTAATAAGGCAGAGAGAAGGGATACAAAATTTATAGCAAATTGAACTATCTTAACTAGACCAGAATTGCATCAGCCAGAGCATATTATTGGTACAACAACATATTACCATTAGCTTGAGAAGTGCACACATTCCACCCTTCCAATAGAAAAGAGTATATAACTCAGGGCTGAGCCATGGAGTTTTTTTTTTAAACAAAGTTTTTATTTTTTACAACAAACATACAAACAAAACATAAAAACATAAAACCCTCTTTCAATTATATACATGCAGTTTTTCAGTTGGTTACAATCTTTTGTGCTATCCTTTTTTTACCATTACTCACAAGTTATATAAATTCTCACCTTATCAATCTAGTGTGTGCTTATGTAATATCAATTATTAAACATTCATTTGACTAAATTATTTTTACATCATTTTATACGAGATATTCTAATTTTCATTATGATTTAATCTTATACATCCATCCAATGGTTAAATAAATGCTGGAAATGTCATCAGATACCTGGTCCATATGTGGTGGACATGCTCGGATGCAAAAAGATATTGGACTATAATTCACACATGGTTGGAAAAAATGACAAAACAACACATAGACTTTAAATCTGAGATATTTTTATTGGGAATTATACCAGAAATATATTGTAATGAATTGAAATATTTGATTGTAAATGTTTTAACAGCGGCTAGAATTGTATTTGCTAAGAATTGGAAAAATGAAAAAATACCTATGCAGGAGGAAATTATTAAGAAAATCATGGACTGTGCCGAAATGAGTAAATTGGAATTTGAAATTAGAGAACAACAGGATAAACAATTTTATATGATATGGGATTTATTTTATCAATGGTTAGATAAAAAGACAGGGTAAGGAAATAGATTAGTACGCCTTACAATAAAAGTTAATAGATTGATATAGAGCCATGGAGTTTTGGGTGCCTTCTGAGCTTCGTTATTTGCTTGCAGACATTTCATTACCCATACTCAGTCATATTGATGATGTTGTCTAGTCACATAATTGAAAGATCTCTAAGCTCAGAGGACACCAAGACCTCCTAATTCTTCCCCCTGCTCTTGTGCAAGCACTTCACTTCAAAAGCAACGAAACTCATAGATGTACCCATTATCCTTCTAAGATCCACACTCTAAAATGGCTTATTGTCCAATTTATTTCAAAACACGTATAACCAAATGGTCTGTTCCAAACTTCTTCTTGTGAGGGTTTTTGGTGCTTTCTGAGTTTGCTGCATTGATGATGTTACCTAGTTTGGTAATGCAAGAAAACAGCCAAGCTCAGAGAGTACTAAGGACATCCACAGTTCAACTTTTGAGGTAGAAATATTCTCTACCAAGCTGCTTCTTTTTGTAACTCCTTGCAAATGCACTGTTGAAATTTTACAGGGGGGAAAAAAACTGTTGCAAAAGAAAACTGATGTGTGAACTACTGGAAAGTTTTAGCATGGAGAGGAAACAAGTTTCTCCATTTAAAACCACCCTGGAAATCTCAGCTCTATCCATTTATATAGTGTTGCTGCCTTGTCCACTGAAACTGCAACTGTAATTTGTGAGCTTAACTGTTGCTTTAAAGTATTTGCACTTTCCTCCTCAGTCTAAAGGTTCTTGGAACTGTTTCAAGAATCATACAAGCCAAATGATCCCTGCCCTTGGCATACATTGTAAAGAAAAAACCTGGAAGGAAGAAAAGATAGGGAGGAAAGAGGAAGAGGGGGAAAAAAGATTTTTTTGATAGCAGGAATTTGTGTAGAAAAACTCAGCCAGTTACAATAATTGGGAAGTAAAAGTTGCTTCCTGCTTTCTCCTAAAATTTATTCAGTCTGAGCTGAAGACTGCCTCTTCATTTCAAGTGTTCTACAAAATATGTACAAGAGTTATTTGTATCCTAGCTTTATTATTTTTACAAATAACTCAAGATGTCAAACTTATCCAACACACCTTCCTCCTCATAGTTTCTCTACAATAACAACTCTGTGAGGTGAGTTGGAGAGGGGGGGAGAGAGAAGGAGAAGGAGGAGGAGGAGGAGGAGGAGGAGGAGAAGGAGAAGAAGAAGAAGGAGAAGGAGAAGGAGAAGGAGAAGGAGAAGGAGAAGGAGAAGAAGAAGAAGAAGAAGAAGAAGAGGAGGAGAGGAGGAGGAGGAGGAGGAGGAGGAGGAGGAGGAGGAAAGAAAGAAAGAAAGAAAGAAAGAAAGAAAGAAAGAAAGAAAGAA